GGCAGCACAGCCCCAAATACAATTGACTCTGCCGATTGGACTGTTGTCAGACACGGGAAAATACACAGGAACATATCCACCCAGTACCACCATCACCCTAACAGTTCCCTGAGCCGATTGCCCCCTTCATAAGCACCCCCAGCCCTTCTTGGAACCCACAAGGGGCAAACATCAAGCTCTTACAGTCTCTCCCTACATCACCTCTGAGGATTACCACAGAATCCACAGAGAAGTCTCTGCAGTGTTGGAACAGCACTGCAAATCCCAAGCCCTGCACAGCTCTGCAGAACGTTATAAAACCTGAGCATGGTGATTTAACTCTGGCAGAGGTGCACAGTACATAGCACCGTGTGTGTGTGTGTGTGTGTGTGTGTGTGTGTGTGTGTGTGTGTGTGTGTGTGCGTGCGTGTGTGGAATAGAAAAAGAGCCAGAAAGATACATTTTTCGCTAGTGACCCCCCAATCCGTGCCTCCACGGCAGGCATAGGGTTGGAACCCCCACTCACACAGTGATCTGCCTGCCCCAAGTGGTGCTCAGAAGCCTGGAGTCTTCCCACCCGCCACTACTCGCTTTACTTCCGCTGCTGAACTCCGCCCTCCCCTCAGCCAAGGACACAAATATTAACAGAAACTCAAAACAGAAAAAGAAAAAGACCACATCACGGTGTCACCGGTCCTTCCTTCCACTCTTGTCTCACACAACCTCATCCCATTGTCTGGTCGTAGAGACTAGGGCTAGAGGGAAGGAGCGTGTCCATGAATTATCCTCCTCGGAAACCACGGGAATAGAAATAAAGCCAGTCCCCTCTTTCCACTTCCTCAGACATCTCCAACCTGCAGCCCCGTGTCTATAGAGAAGCCCTCTCAGGAAATGTGGTTCTCAGCTCCTCTCTTCTCTCCTCTCTTCTCCTCTCTTCTCCTTGGAGCCTCCTGATAAATTGACTCCAGGAGCCTGTGGTTCTTAGCAATAAATAAGCTCCAAATATAGAAGAGGGGGGAAATATGATGAGCCTCTCTGACATTTGTCTTTAAAATAAAACTAGCTGCACGTCAAGTTTGAGCTTAATTTCTGGAAATAGGCGGAAGTCGCTCCGGATCATGCATGGAAGGCTAATTGAAAAGATCAGTCGGGGCGCTTGTGGCAGCCTTGTCACTTTGTGACAGTGCTCCGCTCCGGGAAATTGCATCGTCACGACAAACGGGACCGTGATAAAACGACCCTTTCCGTCCCTATTTGTAGATCACTCAGACGAGAATGAACTGCACTCTTCTCCCCTTCGAGGGGAGCTGCGTTTTCAGGGTAGCTTGAGGCTTGGGGCTGGAGGAGGGTTATAGCTCACCGAGGGGGGGGGGGGGGCCCCCCCCCAAATCGATGAGAAGTGACAGGCGTTTAGGGATCCCGGCTCCGGCCGTCCGGGCCAGTGCAAGAGGGTACATTGCACAGTGCAAGAGATGGCTTCTTAAACAGGGCAAGGCCTATCCTGTGCTTCCGGTTTCTCCTAAATTGTCTCTATCATCTCCCTTGGCTTTCTAGATTTCATTTACCACGCAGGTATGGAGGCCCATCTCTGGGCAAAAGAAAGCTCCCCAGAAAAAGGAAGGCTGTCCCAGAGAAACGAAGAGAAACTTTTCAAAAGCAAAGCCAGGGTAATTCTCAGTCTACAGATGCCAGAGCGTGCAAGGCCTCTAGTCCTTATTCCTCATTGCAAAACTAACGTGCTCAGCAAGCACCTCCACAGCTGAAGTCTGCATGTGCTCGTCTGAGAGACACGGGGCCAGGGTGCCTCTGCCAGCATCGAAATGGCAGCGAAGAAACATAGCTCTAAATTCCCCTTTAGAGGTTAAGCCTTAATCATTGTGTCCCTTCCCTAGGGACTGCTGGCGTTCTCGCCCAGTGGCGATGATTATGCGCCTAGAATTCGACCGCAAAGCTTCTAATACGAAAACATATGGTGTCAATTTGGATGCTCCGCGCCTCGCGCACACCCGGGAACCAGAGGCACAAAGCCTACAGGCCAACCCGCGACCCCTTCCCCTCTGGGCCTGCCAGCCAAGCCATAGCGCAGCGGCAAACGGTCGCGACTGAGCGCCTCTGCCCACCTGAAAACCTAAGGCTAGGGAGTCTGAGCTCCAGGGTATGCATCTGACAGGTTCTGTACAAATACAGTTGCAAAGCTCACACCTTTACTCACTTTCCTTAGCTTAGCGCCAAGGTCCTGTGGCATCATGGGCTGCTGGGCTCTCTGAGCTTGTGCAGTTCCACAACCGCAAGTTTCTAGAATACACAGGCCTCTCCATACTCCCAAGCACAGCTGTATCCTTGATTAAGACTGTGTAGACTCTCCACCCTTAACTGGGCCTAGCGTCACTGGCTCAGCTCTGTCACATACCAGCAACTATTGGCTGAGCACAAAGATTGGGGCCCGAAATGCCTGGGCAAAGGTATGAAGTGAGGCACAAAGACCATGGAATCAAAGGCACCAAGAGCCTGGGTCATCCAGAACCCACTCAGTTGAGCTTGCTAGTGCAAGGTTTATCCAATTCCTGACCCGCACAGCTTCAACTGTCTTTCCAGAGCCAATCCCCGCCCCACCCTTTCTTCACCGCGTGAGGTTTACTTCCCCACCAGAGTACCAACTTTGGATGTTCCACTCCTCTTCTCGTCTAGGCCGGTAGCTAGGGTGGGGAGGGGAGGAGCTGGCCTGAGATTGACTAGGAGAGGGAAGCCCCCCACCCCTCGGGGTCGGAGGAGACGCTCAGTCTTGGCCAAGCCCAAAGGGGCCTCCTTCTCTTCTCAGGAGAAGCCTTCGCTTCGCCCCGCCCTGCTCGGCCCAGCCCCTCTTTCTGGGGTCAGAGCCCGGGCAGGGGCGGGGAGGGGGTATGAGTTACAGGATTTGGGGTTGGGTGGGATGGGGTTTCTCTACCGCAGCTTCAAAAACTCGGGCGAGTAGTTTTGAAGGGCCCCAGCCTCTGCCCTTCTAGAACACAGCAGAGCAAAACGCCTCCCAGCCTTCCCTCGCGGGCTACTTGGCGCTCACCCGGTGCTGCCCGGACAGATTCCAGGCCACCTCCCTCTCTCCCAGTGGCTTGGACTCCGTAGGGCCCAAGACTCAGTGTGCTCCCCTAACCCAAGGCCCGCATGCCTCCAGCCCAACAGTCCAGAGAAAGACTTGAGACACTTACTGTTCTGCATGCTGGAGCTGGTTGGCAGCCTCCGAGTCCCACGGGGCTCGAATACGGGGCTCTGTTAGTTAGAAAATTGGAGTTAATCCAGGGCTTTGCACAGGTAGGCCTGCACTCCTACTGAGGAAGACCTGGTGCCTGAACTAGAGAATCCTCCTTTTCTTAGAAATTAAGCTACTCAGCCGCTTGAGGGGATCTGAGGGTCACCTAGTGTGAGCTGCTAATAAAATAATCTACATTCACAATTAGTTTCCCCAAATCTTTTAATAGTTAGCCCTTTAATCAGAAGAAACAGAAACAATGACTGGATTCCCCCCCCCCCCACCTGAACTATGGTCTTTAAAAACTCTTTCAGATTTTGAAGCCCAAAACAGCACCATAAAACTTGCCTGAAAACTGGGATATATGTCCACTCTTAGAATAGAAGATCTCACACATCTGCTCGACCGCCCCTAGTTAAAGTCTTCTGCCTAAGATGAAACAGAGGGAGAGAAAGGTGTGTCAAATTGGCACCGCTCACAGGTTGACTGGCTATCTGTGGCCCACTCTCAACCCAAAATAAATCTGGGGCCAGATCCTTCTGCCTAGAAACACTAAACCTACCCCAAACTTCCAGTGGCCTCTCCCATTTTCCTCTGGAAAATGCTGCGTTGGCTAGGCTTGGGGAAATGGGGAATCTTAAGTTGTGGGTCTCACTTTGTAAAATTAACAAGTACCAGGAAAAGGAGAAGGCTTAAACTAAGAGAGGGGAGGAGAAACAGCTAGGGAAGGAAGGGTGCCGAGCACCTAAGTCTGCAGAGGAAGAGAATGGAAAGACTTGTGGTGCCTTGGGGCCCAGGTAAGGAAGTCTGGGTGAGGCTCAGACCAAGCTCCCTCCTTTCCTGAGAAATTTCAGCACCACAATTGTCCATAGACCCTTAGAACTAAGTTCTTTGGTTATCCTTAACCAATCCTCCCAATACATACACCCAAAAAAGGCTTTCCAATCAGAGCCCCCACAACCCATCTCTCAGCTTCCAGACTGAGCAAGTGGTAAGTCCAACTTTTTACCCTAAATCTCATTTATTGCAGCTAATTTTGCTTTCGGTGTTTAGATCTTCCTCTTTTCCTGTATCGTGACATGTACTGTCTACCTCACCTCACTGCTTTAAAAAGTACAAACGAGAAGGGGTGAACACAGTCTACAAAGTCTACAGACACCAAACAATGGCTTCTATTCTGTGGCTCTCCCCCAATCCAAAGAGTAAAGCCCAGACTCTCAATCCAGCAACACCAGGTCCAAAGCAAAGGAACCAACAACTCTGCAACTCTCAAAGGAAAAGAAGGACTCCACTCACTGAAGTCCTGACTCGTTACAGCGCCCCTGAAGGCTTCCAATCCACCTACTCTCCTGGCTATCCCTCAAAAAGAGGGTTCTTGGAAGAGAGGTGGAGAAAATAGTAAAGTAATTTCTTGTTATAAATATCTGGAGGTAATTGTGTTACTGGTGTGAGTTGTTAGGGGTTGTAAAAAGATACAAGGGCACCGTGGGGCGCTCAATTGGAAAGGAGAGTTACAATAAAGAGCCCATTCAAGAGGATTGCCCAGAAGAAAGGGGGGGGGTTAAAATAATGAAATAGTCACAGCATCTCACGTTTATTTTATTTTAAAGAAATCATTCTCTTTTTTCCCCCTGTTTTTGGCTATGATGATGATTAATTTTGCTACCCTGCAAAGAATTCCAGGGAATAGTTTTCTCTTCAAGACCTTTTATGATTTAACTTTTAAGTAACCGAGAGGCAGCTTAAATCCATAAAACATAAGTCTAGGATGAGGACGTTTTCTCAGTGTCTGGTTATGACTGGACCTAGCCAAGGACTAGAAACCGCCATTGACTTTATCTCCTAAAGCCTCCCTCCGGTCTCTAGGCCGGTTCCTGAATCTATATCATGTCATGAACAGAAATTTCACCCAGAACAAAATGTCCATCTTACTTATATAGAGGACTCAAGCTGCACAGGGTAGCAGGTGTGTGTGTGTGTGTGTGTGTGTGTGTGTGTGTGTGTGTGTGTTGGGGGCGGGGTGGAATTAATTCTGTTTGGAACAGAAAACTTCTTGAGCTCTTCTCTAACCACACTTTTTTACACAGCCTCACGTCTCCATCCCGGCTCGGACCTCCGTGATACCATTTTAGAAAATTGTCTAGCTGATCCCCCAAGACCTAGCTGATTAGTTTGCCAAGCAAGTGGGAAGGTGATAGCACTTCAGGTTCCGGTTTTGCTTGGTTCCCACCCTCCTCTCCTCTAAGAAGCTATCTAATTACCTAAGTAATCGTTAACACTCAGTGCAAAAAGCACCCTGGGAAGCGGGGCACACCCTGCACCCGGAAGCAGTCCTGTTCTTAAAGAAGCTAGACCCCTCTGCCTCAGCCCAAACCTCTAGCCTAGGCTAGGTCTTTGTATTGCCTTGGAGGGGATCATAGACCTGCCTCAGAAATGAAGGACTCTTCGGAAATCTCCAAGGCCACAAGGTCTGAGTCCGCTGTACTCCGCACTCTCTGACCCAAACCCAAGCCAGAGCTTTCACTCTATGTTATTGTTTTAATTATTTAAATGTCAAAATCCACTCTCACGTTCCTTAGCTGAAGTGTTAGAAGAAGCTTGCTTTCTCTCCTCCAGATCCCCCTACCTAGAAATTAGCAATTAGGGAGACAAAGTTTACCCTCCAGGGCCAAAAGACAACAGCTCATCAATTGCCTTCAAACATATGCAAAGATCCCCAGCAACCCTCCTCCCAGTCAGTGGCAACAACTATTCTTTCTCTTGGGTAAACTTGCTAGGCTTTCAAGGATTTTAGCTTTTCATTTGCTTTTTTGATCCTATCTCCTCAACCCTTCCCAAGTTCGAGTTTAACATCCAAAATGGCGAGAGAGGGAGAGAGAGAGAGAGAGAGAGAGAGAGAGAGAGAGAGAGAGAGAGAGAGAGAGAGAGAGAGAGAACATTCACTTTGTTTTTAAACTTTTCAGAACGCTCATTAATGAAAGGCCAGGTTTTTTAGCACTCGAAAAAGAAAGCATTTCCACTTGAAATTCAACTCCATTTCCCTCAATTACACTTGCTAAAATTCGAGGCTATTATGGCTGAGGGAGATTGAGGAGATCTGCCCCGGGAAAGAGGCAACAACTTTCTGAACTTTGAAAAGCCACTTTTCCTCCTGGGGTCTTAGAATCCAAAAGCTCTCAAATTACTCATACTAATTAGCTGGGAGAGGACGCGATCCGAGGAGGGGAAACCAGTGCTTTCATATAGATGGTTTTTTTTTCCCTTTAAGCCACACAAAGAAAAATATCAGTATACTCGAAAGAGGGGAGCAAATCGCCTTTCCAGCTCGAAACTTGTTGAAATGGAAACATGGGGTACAGCTTGGTCAATGGAGACACGGGAGAATACCCACCAAGAGCTGGAGGTGGGAGTCCACAGGGCAGGGAACACACCAACTTTCGCAAGATAAGAGTTGTGGGAAGCCGGGAGAGCTAGGGCATTTTTTTTCCAAATCCAAGCTCAGCGCTCGGCTGAGGCTGGAAGCGAGGGCCTTAGGGGGTGGATGGAAGCTGGCAGTCCTTGGGATCCGCTCGGAGCTCCCTCGGAGAGCGCATCCAAACGCCTCGGCCTAGTTTCTTCCTTCACGGCCCGCGCTCGCTCCTGGTTCCTCGTGGCCTCCGGCCCACGGCCATGGTGTCCATCCAGTCGGCTCCGGCTGGCGGAGGGCACGATGCCCCCTTGGCGCTCGAGTGCTGCGGGTAGTTCTGTCCCCGAGAGGATCTTGCACAAAGCCGGAGCGCGGGCTGGAGGGAGGCGGCGCGGAGAGCTGGTTGGGCGCTCTCGGCGCGCTGGCTCGGCCCGGGCTGGACAAAAGCATCGCCGGTGGCTGCTCTCCGCGGCCTGGGGCACAGCGGAGCCTCTTCGTCTTTTCCCGCTGACCGCGAGCTTTTGGAGGTTCTGAAGCCGAGAGCTGCGGTTTGCGGGGGCGCCCTGCAGCCTAGCTGCTCTCCGAGAGCTCCAGCCGCACTTGCGCTGGTGCGGAGCCAGCCGCCTGCCCCGAGCTCCGCGCTGCTGCGGCTCGCGGACCGTCGTCCTCCGACGCGGGCTGTCGCTGGAACTAGAAAGTTTGGGCTCCTGCGTGGAAACTTCTCCGGCCCAACTCTCCCGGCGTAGCAGTGGGGGAGGGGACCAACGAGACGGGAGGAAAGAAGAGAGGGAGAGATCTGCCAGGATATTGAAATATAAAGAAATCGTTAAGAAAGAAGCGGGACTCACCTTTAAGAGGCATCCTCTCTTTCGTCGTTGTCAAAGCTCCTGTCAAGAGTTTTGTTGGGCTTTTTTTTTTTTTTTTTGGTTTTTGTTGTTTTAGGTTTTTTCCCCCCTGTTGTTGCTTAAAGACCACAACGGTTTGAAATGACGGTATTTTAAAAGAGTTGCTCGTGAGAGTTTTCTCCACGGACGCTGCTGGGTTGGTGTGTGAGAGCAATTCTCAGATCCCTGGGAAGAAGACAGAGATTGACAATAAAATGGGCTGTCAGCGGCTGGAGAGTGAGAGATAAAGAGTGTGGGTGAGGGAAGTGGCTGCAGCCAGCACACCTATGCTGATTGGTGATGGCTCAAGTGTGTTAATGTGTGTGTGCCGGCGCCCGGCCTCGCCTCCACCGCTCCTCACTGGCCCATTAGCGAAGCCTGACCTCTGTCATCATCCTCCAGCAAAACACTTCCTCCTGCGCCTGAACCAGAGCGGGAAATGAGGCCGAGCCACGGTTCGCTTTTCAAACCCACTAATCACTCCGCAACATGCAAATGCACCGCTCGCTCCCACACAAAATATTGCTTTATGCAAAGCAGCGCCGGGGCCTCGCGCCAGCCGATTGGATGCTCCCACTCCCTGCCTGGTGCAATTGGTCGGTTTGTTTGAATATGAATACACTTGTTTTCGGCTCTGCCGGTGGGTCCCGGCTTCTCTCTCCGGCGCTGGGCCCCCGCTCCCAGGCTCTGGCGCTCGCCGAGGTCTCCGGCTCCACGCGCTTCGGCAGCCAGCGCTGCAGCCGCGAACTTGATCAGTCTAATGGAGGCCACTGAGCTGGAAGTCATGCTGCCCCTCTAACCCCGAGCTGGGCCAGGGGTTCCCTGTCCGTGGAGGTAGCAAGTTTCACCATCTCTACGAGGTCCTATCTTGCACAGTAGCCTGCCGCTCCGCCCCGGTCCACTTTAACCTCCCACCCCTAGCCCTCCCCGGCCTTGGCCCCAGGACACAAAGTACAGCGGTGGTGGCTCTCTAGCCCACCTGACCTTTGGGAACAAGAGAAAAGAGGCGGGAGTGTCCCTGGATCCCGGCAGCCCCCACTCCGGCGATGGTGGCACAAGGATGCCTAGGCCTGAAGAGGGCCTCCAGGCCGAGAACTCAGAAAGGCCCGGCGGTCGCCCCAGCCCAGGCCTCCTGAGCCTGCCCTTTTCCCCATCCCACTCCCGCACCCCTGGCCTTTTCTTCTCTCCTTTCTGCTTTCCGAAGCCACCGTGCTCAGCCGAGCGGACGCACTGCCCCAGCCTGGAGAGGCCCGAGTAAACACGCCACTTACTTTGTGTACAGAGGATTCTTGTGAAAAGCTCTGAAGAGTCCTCACCAAACACTCTCCAACTTCTCCCACGTGCCATTTGTTGACTAAGTGCGGCTGCTTTTCCAGGCCATCGAAGGGAGGGGAAGTAGTGGAAGCCTGAGGGTGGGGGTGGGGTTTGACCAATGCTGGGAGAGATTCTGCGAGTGTGTGTCCGCCGGCTTTCTTGGTGTGTCAACGTGTGTCGTGGTGAGGAACCGGTTATCTG